TAGTGAGTGTGGATATGTATGGAGGCCAAGATCGCATCACCCAGCCAATAATGAGATGTCTAATATCCCCTTAGTCATGGAGACACCTACCTATGGCCTGCATTTAACCACATATTCCCGGAGCGAGAGTGTAGATAATCTCTGGAAGGAAACAAGGAGGTATGAATGGGACAAAGAACAAAGGTAGACAGAAGATATGATTGGTTCAGGATGAAGGTCTCTGGCAGGATCCCCTTCTAGAACACATTTCAGAGCAGTGGCCCTAGAGGCCTAACTGAATTTAGGCAAGTCATCTGTCACTGGTCCACAGGGGACAGGGAAATAGGCAAGAAAGACTGGAGAAGTCAACACTCATTTTTTAAGAAAACTCATTTTAAGAGAGAACTTGGAGTCCAGATGCCGCTCATTGCCTGTGTTCATGGGTTTGTTCAGAATACAATGTTTGTTACAATTGTTAGCCTCTGGAAACACTCTGCATTACAGCTCGAACAGTCACAATGCTATCCAAAGTAAGGAGTTTCTGGCCCTTAAAGCAGTTCTTCCTCAGAATGGTGGGAAGAGGGGCTATTACTGAGGAGGTAGGAAGACGAGGGAGGGATTTTGCTAAAGTAATTTTGGAAACGGTTCAGGGCCTCCCTAAGGTGTAGAAGTGTTATTGGCGCAGTCTAACCTGTACACTTAACCTAAAGGTCATGCAGTGTAGAATAAAGCTCTCCAACACTTACCCTGTAACCTCTCTGAGGGTGTCCCTTTCTGAGGCCCCATTCCCTCTGCTGTAAAATGCCAGTAATAGTCCTACCTCAAGGCATTGTTTGGAGAGTCCAAGACACTTGGCAAGTTTGGGTTACATAGTAACAGGTGGCTTGTATTTATTACACTTTTGGCCAAATTTGAAAGAAAAGATATGTTATATAAGATAAAACAGCTCAGGTAGACCTAGAGATTTCAGGGATGAAAACTCTACTGAGAACCACAGAATTTTGATTCATTACATAAAGAGGACATTTTAATTTGTGGGAGAGGGCAGATACTGGGGATTGAACCCAGGGGCACTTAACCACTGAGCCACATCCCCAGCCCTATTTTGTATTTGATTTAGACACAGGGTCGCACTGAGTTGCTTAGCGCCTCACTTTTGCTGAGGCTGGCTTTGAACTCACCATCCTCCCAAGCCTCTAGGATTGCAGGCGTGCACTACCATGCCCAGCTTACATTTTAATTTTTAAATAACTAATAAAACTAGCTTGGATTGCATGGAGGTTTGGTAAATGTCTATTTAATCAGTATAGAAAGCAGAATTCACTAAGTGATCTCTTTTCAGACTCTTATTTGGGGGCTCACATTTCTCAGGTCTCAGCCAGGATGGCACCTCCTTCCTGTGGCTTGCTCTCTGCCCTCTCTTGGCCCCTGATCTAACTGTTGTCATAGTTCTCCCCACCCCATCCAGAAACTGGCAGTGGGCTTGTTCTGCTTCCCATGCTAGACCATAATAAGCCTCTTGAGGGCAGGGACTGTGCCTTTGTTTACCATAGACCCTAGAGGGTCCAGTACCTCCTATGGAATAGTAGATAGTTGTTGGGGGAAGAGGAATAAGTGCATCAACATCAGATAAATGCAAAATTACCACTTTGCTTTTTACATATAAATCAGCATTAGAAGCAACCAAACTTGTAAGCTAGGAACATATCAAGGAAAATTTGGTCTTCAACTCAGCACATTCATTTTGCTTAGTGTCTTTTGCTTCTTGGAAAATTGGCTCAAAGCCAGCAAAACCAGATTTTTTTTTTCTTTTCTTTTGGCCCAAAATTATTTCTGAAAGTTACAGCATTTTAGATTTGTATTGTTTTATTACCTGTCATTTTTATTCATGTCCCCTTTTGTTGCTCTCTCTTTCTCTCTCTCTTGCTGGACCTCTTCCTAGTTCAGCTTGACTGTTCCTCTGTTAAGCTGCACCTCATATGGAAAGCTCTCTCTTCATCAGCACACCATAAATAATCAAACCTGGGTGCGTTCCATTGCCTTCTCTGGCTACAGACTCCTCCCCTCCCCAGCTGTGCGGCTCCAGTTTTCTGTGGCCCCAGTGACATGACTGTTGGCAATAAATGCTCAACTTCATTTATTTATTAGAATTCTCAGATCTGTCCTGGTTTACTCCATTCAAGTTGCTGACATGCTTTGTTAGGTACATATTTTATAGAGTCTCCCCTTTCTACTGAGCTCCTGAGAAAAAGTGCCCTGGTAAGGATGAACTGGGATTTAGCAGAACAGGTTTTTAACTTCAATATGTTTTTTTTTTTTTTTTTACTGACCCTTGGACAATCAGCATATAATCTGTTGTATATTTTAACCATATATACCTCTTCAGGAATGTTGCTTTTGCAGGTGAAGTGTTCATTCTATTTCCTATCTGGCCATAATCGTGGTTATCTCCATAATAAAACTATAACCACCATTTCTCAGGCATATTTTAAATTTGTGTGTAGTATGCAGACGTTGGCTTGGAAATCCATCACATTTTTCATACTATGAAGTGTGAAAATATTTCAATGTGTTGCTTAATCCTAGGAAAAAATGCTCTCCATTGAAGAAAGCCAAACGTGACAGAAGTGATGTAAAGATTACTTGTTCTAATTTTGATAATATGAAGCTAAACAGGTGGCCTTTTTCTTAATTAAATTTGCTCCCATCTTCAAAATTATCCCACCCCCAGTTTACAGTAAAGAATTCATTTGTAATAGGATGGTAACTCTTGCCTTTTTGTAGCATGTTTCAAAAATAATAGGTCATGTTTAATAAGCCAAATACCCACTAAGTACTACTCAAAAGATTTCCCCTTCTTTCATTAATTAACTCAGTCTATACCTTAGAGTTACAAGGAAAGACACTATGTCTTCTATAGGTATTTGTAGAGACAGCAATGAAAACGATCTGGTTACTATTTGAGTTGTAATATGTATCTTACTACAGAAACTTAGCCATGGAAGAGATCCAGGTGACTCAATCACACAAACTGCATAACCCTCCCAAAGCTCTGGGTAAATAGTAATATTTAAGGGTACATTCTTAGAAAACTAGCACACCCCCTTTTCCCACTCAAATCTGTATTAAAGCACAGTTGAATTCTTCATAGGACATTCACTGAACCAAGCCTTTTTGACAATGATTACCCAAGAAACGTCATCCTAAAATCTCCAAGAAGACTGTCTCTCAAAAGACTTATATATTCTACAAATTAAAATAAATAGACTTAATTATTCTTTCCTGAAGTAAAAAGAGGAAAGGAAGAAACAAGAGGACAGGAGTCCTGTTTCAAGACGTGGTCTGAGTTGCTTTTAGTGATGGAAGGTTCCATGGGGCACTATAAGGGTAGGAAAAACCAAGCAGCAAAAGGTCATTAATATTTTGGTCCACCCTCAATAGAGACAAATTGGACAGTGTCTATCATAATGCCAAAAATGTTCAGACCTCCTCTTCTAGGGATTTGCCCTGTGGATAATTACTGCATACGTGCATAGATAGGTAGATGAGGGAAGATGTTCACTGCAGGATTGTTTATAATAAGTGAAAGACTACACACAGCTGTTATCAAAGCTGGTCAAAAATATTTAGAGTCCTCCATAATGGATTACTATGCAGTAGTACAAAAGACTCAAGTAGCACTTTATGCACTGAAGTGTGTATTATGTGAAGAAAGCAAGGTGCTGAACAGTGTACAGTGTGCTTCCATCTGCTTTTGAAGAAGAAGGAAAAAAAGGCAAAAAGAGATATAGGTGTGCTTGAATTTGCATAGAGAATTTATGGAAAGTGACTTCATTTGGGAAAGGGTTCTTTTGTACTCAATGTTTTTTGCTGCATTTTATTTTTTCAGTTAAAAAAAAAAACAATTTTACCATATTAAGGGGTAGCTATGCAGTTATCAGTAGGACAGGCCTCAGCAAAACTCTTAAAGAAGGAAAATCTGTCTTACCCCCACCCCTGGCTTTAGTGCCCCTGTGCATCTTACTTAACCCTCAGCCCCTGCTGCCTCACAGTCCTGAAAAGACAATGATCCACAACAAGAAAGACATGTTTTCAACCCAGCACACACACAGATACACTCAAGTGAGACAAAAGTTCAATTTCATAAAAATAATACTGTGTCCATAATAATACACATTGCTTGACATATGCTGCTGATTTTTTTTTTTTTGGAGGGGGCGGGTACTGACGATTGAACCCTGGGGGCACTTAACTGGTTTCACTTTCCAAATGAACTGAGTCACATCCCCAACCCCTTTTTTATATTTTATTTAGAGATAGGGTCTCACTAAGTTGCTGTGGCTGGCTTTTAACTTGAGATCCTCCTCCTCAGCCTCTTGACTCACCAAGATTATGGGCATGTGCCACTGCGCTCAACCTTTAACTGATCTTTTAAAAGCTGGCTACTGATTGATTTCACATCCCACTAATGAGCAAATACCATTCAAAATAAAGAGCTGTGGACTTTTGACTTTCTGGCCCCTCATTAAGGCCCTTCTGTGCTGCTGCCCAGTCCCTCAGTTCTCTGCTATCAGGGGCTGGATGAGTGACTAGTCCACAAATTTGCATGTTATAGGCCTTTTTAAGGGTGGCCTCAATTCAAGGGATAACCAATGCTGAGAATTTCGCATCTTTTGACCAATAGCCAGTTCCAGTAATGGCCTGGGTAGCCCTCCAGTGCCCCCTTGTATATCCTAGAGATCATCATTTAGGGATCAAGTGAAACTCTTCTTTAGCTATACTTGATAAGAGTTGCCAGCTCTGCATTTGGGTTGGGTTTGAAATTGTCTGACATTTCTTACCTTCATTCAAGCATGATATGGCAGAAATCAAGTCCTCTGGAGAGGATGCAAATTCTGGCAGTAATGTAGCCAGTGGCTTTTCCATTCCCTCCACCCATTCTCTTTCAACCCTTCTTTGCTGAGAAATACACCTCTGGTGAGTTTCTCTAAGTCCCTTCCTTCTCTTCTTCCTGGCCTTACCTTCCCGCCGAGCATTCTGCCACTTGCCAGGCGTAGGTCACAAACAGAACATGGTCAAAAAAGACACCTCTTGAACTTCAAAGTGACCTCTATCTTTCCATCTTCTCTCTTTTGTTGAGGTATCCAAATGCTTCTTTCTGCCTCCTTGTCTAGGAGATGCTCAGCACCTTGTAAAAAGAAAATTCTACTTTTCACCTAGCTGTTACTTGGCCCCAACTATTCCAAGGTAACACCTAGTTAATTCACATACTTCTGTGTATATTCCTCAGAGGTCCCTCTTTTCAGTTTTAGTGTGTTGGCTTAAAGAAAAGAGGTCTGGTTTCCCTTTTTATAGCAGTTTAAGTCTCTCCCAAGTTGCCAAATAGGTATTTATATGGACCGACTCTCAGGTCCTCCAGGACCTTCCCAAATCAACATAGCTTGGAGGTCTCATGCTCAGGTGGAGAGCCACATGCCCAGTTTGCCCTGTTGGGGGTCACCAGCCTCCTGAACCCAACCTGGCATAGAGCAGCACTGATCTGGGTGAGCCTTCTAGTCTTATAGGCCAGTGGTTTTACCTGGAAGTTGCTGCCCTAAGCTGTATTTTTCCATTTGCACAGACTGGAGAATAAAATTTGGCTTTTGCAATGATAATGGAAGGCCCTGGGGGAGAAGGAAATTGGCAGGTATTAACTAACAATTGGATGTTTTCATTTTGCTTTGATTTTCATCGGTATGCTAAAAGACTAACTCAAACATGTTCTTGTCTTACAAGGGAAATAATAATTATGGTAATAATAATTGTTGTAAGTATGAGCACTTCATTGTTGAAGAGGGCAAGCTCATGCAATTATCACAAAAAACTCAAATGCTTTTCTAGGTCCTGTGGGATTAATTGGGAATTTCAGTCCAGTTTCAATTGGGGAAATTTCCACATCACAAAATCCTTTGCTATAATGGACACTAATTGGCCTCCTTGTTGACAGTCCCAGAAGAGAAATCCCAGTGCCCAAAAATTGAGTGATTTGGTAGAGTTGAGAGAGTAGCTAGCAAATCATGGGGTTACAACCCAAGATTTGTTTTTTACTGGGGATAAAGGGAATATATCAGGCTGTAGGCTTTGAAGGTTCCAGATAACTCAGAAATAGCACAAGGCCTTTGGTATTACAAGGAATTTAAAATGTGTTTGGCAAGATTCTGAGCACACTCCAGTATTAATAGTCTTAACTTAGCAAAGAGACCACTGAATTTCAATCTGCAGCAAAACTGATAGAGGAGTAGGTGAAAGAGCCAGTTCCAATACTTTTTGAGCATATTCCTGGAAAACAGGCTGACTGGGCATGTTTCTCTCTCTCTCTCTCTCTCTCTCTCTCTCTCTCTCTCTCTCTCTCTCTCTCTCTCTCTCTCTCTCTCTCTCTCTCTCTCTCTCTTCTTCCCTACCCCCTTTCTCTTTCTCTCCTCATTGTGACTGTGAGGTATGATTTGCAAGAATCACACTAGTCTTATGTAAAGTGTGCAGGCTCTGCCACATTGTGAAGTTTGAATCGAACCTTTCACACTGGATCTCTGCAGCCTGAATCACATCCAATCATTAGCTAATGCCTGCCAATTCCCTATTAAGTGTAATCTGACATCATTGCCCATACAGTCAGCAGCAACCTCTTAAATCATCCCAATACTTTCCATCAGATTCATCAACATCTTTGGGAAAATATCTTAAGCAAACAATTCTTCTAGAAGACAATGAAAATAAGACAGAAGACAACTATCGACTAAAAAGTCCATTGATTCTGAAGCACACTGAACGTCTTTCCCCCTCCCCATACTCCTCTTATTTCCCACCTTTAAACCAGTATTTATCATGTAACTGTGGTTTTACAGGCCACGCCTCCTGATCAACCCAAGATTGGGTACACCCAGTCATTTCTCCAGCAGAGGTTCAACCTTGGATCTGACCTTCTTTCTCCCCTACTCTTATGCCCTCTCTAATGATTAAGCAATGCCATAGTAGACCCAAGGCCCTGGGAGGCCCCAGCTGTTCTCCATTCCAACCACATGGAGCTAAACCCTCCCCTTCCCACAGGGACAGTTTTTTATTAGGCCGCAAACTTGGAGCCCTCAATTTCTTACAATGATCTTTTATTCCTTGTTTACCCTCTTTCTTTGCAAACTTCAATCTGACTCCATGGGAGCCCAGTGAGAAGGCTCTGTGAGCTGGATGGAACTCATTGCTCCCTGGCAGTTTTCAAGCTCTGTGCATCTGCAGCTCCATCCTAGGACTATCCCCTCCAGACAGTGCCAGTTTTTCTTTCAGTCCTGCTCTTGTTCCCTAGAGTAACCCCTACCCTACCTCCTGATAGTGAGGATGTAGGCAAAGTGCCTAGGAGCATCTCTAAGAACATGCTCAAACAGAAAGCTACAACATTTTTCATGGAGAGGACTCTAAGCTGGGCACTGATATGTACTTGTAGTCCCAGCTACTCAGGATGGTAAGACAGGAGGATGACGTGAGCCCAGGAGTTCCAGACCAGCCTGGGCAACATAGCAAGGCTGAGGAATAAATTTTAAAAATGAAAACATTGAACGTACACATCCCCAGAAGAAAAGGCAGAAGGACCTCACAGACAGGGAATAGCAGATTCATCTCTCCAGTCCCTTACTTATTGTCTGAGTGTTATGGTTTGAATATGAAGTGCCCCCTTCCCCAAAGCTCATGTTAGGCAATGTAGCATGAGATTAGATGTACCTCTAAATCATTTCAGAGGGAAATGATTAGATTATGAGAGCTGTACCCTAACCCATTTGTTGGATTAATAATTCAAATAGATTATTGTGTGGTAACCATAGCCGGTACACTATAGCTGCAGGAAGGTACAATGTAGCTGGAGGAGGTCAGTCAGTGGGGGCATGCCCTTGGAGATTATATTTGTCCTGGCTCCCTTGACTCTCTGTCTGCTTCCTGGCTACCATGAACTGACCAGCTTCCTTCAGCCCCTCCCTTCTGCCATGATGTTTTTGCCTCATCTCAGGCAAATGGAGTCTGCCAGCCATGGACTGAATCTCTGAAACCATAAGTCAAAATAAACTTTACCCCTCTAAGTTGTTCTTGTCAGGTATTCTGGTCACAGTGATTAAAAACTGACCAACACACTGATCATGTTCCTTTGCATAAGATGAGACTAAGGCCTAACCAAAGTTATGTAAATGTGGTGCCCATGCCCTTACTCTCGAAGTAGACATAGTTCATTTCTCATGAATTAAATGCAGGCATAATGCCACCACCAAATGTCTTTGTTGGAATCTTCCCACTGTCAAAGTTGAGGAAACCCACTAAGGGTTTTGATTTCCTAAGCAAAATTTTCTCAACCTGCAAAGCCAAGCTGTACTGTCTCCTTCACAAAACATGATTTCCAACTCCTTAAACAAAGAAAGGCATTGGAGTGTAGCTCTGGTGACCATGCAGTCCCTGCTCAGGTCAGTTTCCTGCTCTTCCTACCAAACCTGTCAAAGCAATTAAATGTGTGAACCACACTACTTATGTGTTTCCAGGGCTTTCTAAGTCACAGCCATGCTAAGGGACTGAAACACATCTCTTGAACACCACGGCAAAGGCAAACAGATATTCCCTTCTCCAAAGTCAAAACCATCACCAACTCCAAAAGTGAGCCCAGGCCAGGTGTCCCATAGGGACTAACCCTTCAAGTGAGAAGCAGTGCACAGGCCTCACTGACAATTGCTGATTGTGATTTATTAGTGGGGGGGAAATTTGGAATTGAAATTTTACCCTTGGGATTTACCTGCATTTGAAAGCAATGCTGTTAGTAGCCCTTCTTTCAACACTGAATGTATTTTCTCCACTTTTATATCTTTCTGATGAATTAAGCACTTATGTAAGGTGAGGGATTGAGAACATTAGCAGTTGAATCTCTCAGTGGCTCTGCTTGCCAGATATGGCTGGATGGAAAATCGCAGGAACCGGTTTCACATTGTTCTTCCACAAAAGTGGTTCCAACGTGAACCAGGATGGTTTCCCTAGTCCCACAATGGATGGGTAAATTGAGTTCCTTGCCCAGCATTTCCCCAAGCCATTTTGAACAAGTGTGCTAATTGAATCCAGTTGTTTGCCATTTCAAATATTCCTGCTTTCCACCGAGCAATAATATAGTAAATTCATTTCATCTGTCATCCAAGAATTGGAGCGTGCATTTTTATTACTGGCTGACTTGTGTTCACCTTTATCCCAGATTTTTAAAATATGTTTGCAATGTAATTAAAAACAATCTAGTCAAATTATCTATTTGAATTGGTTGGTCTCTTTGGGGGGAGATAAAGGAGGAGAAAAGGTGCCTACGATTGCTTCCTTTCTGTTAGGCATGTCTGCCTTCTCACATGGAAATACATCATGTTTCTGCTCACTGAGAGCATTTTGTAATGTCACTGGTGATTTAACAATTACAAAATATTGTAATTAAATGTTCGAATGCTCCCTTCTCTTTTCCCATTACAAATGATCATGGAACTTGATTAATTTCTGCCTTTTAGAAAGGACCCGGCTTTGGTAATATTGTTTCCTGGGATGCACACCTCCAGGGAAAATGATGATCTGAATGCTGAAGTCAGAACCAATTAAACTCGGCCGTTTTCCCCTACTGCAGCGAGAAGATGAGCCACATTTTTCAGGCAGAGATCAAGCAGGCTCGTCAGGTCTCCAGGGCTCAGTGCCTCTGGGCACGGCATGCCTGCTGCCAGCTGCAGAAAACATTCTCTAGGTACAGGAAGGCACATGATAAATCCACAAAGGAAGGGGCTGGGCTGAGTGGCTCTGGGGTACCAGGCTTACTCAGCACCAGGGCAGCCTACATCTGGGCTGTAAACCCTGCCTCCTAGAATGAGTTTGATAATCTGATGGTCAGAGATGGAAAGCTAAAAAGCTGTGGAGTGGAGAAATGAAATCTCTAGATTCTTAATCAGAAGGGGAAAAAATCTTCCACCCAAATTTGCCTTTGAGGTGATTAAAGGTAAAAGCAAATTCTAAATAAGCTGTCGAATCAGAAATTAGCAAGCAGGAGCCATTGATTGAGGCTCCTAATTTTTAAAGGTAGTTTTAACGATTCCCCAGGTGGCGCACACAAACAACTAGAATGTCCTGAGTTTTTGATCTCAGGAGAGTTGAATGTTGTGTTATTCTGCTTCTTCCGACTTTTCCCCTGACTTTGGTATTAAATAAGCAAACAATGACAACAACCCAAACCTACAGTATAATTAGGATCTAGCAAATGAGTTGTCAAAAGAAAACTGCCTGTTCTTCCCAGGAGGCTTGGTGCCAGTCTGTTTGCTCTGGAGGATTTAAACAGATCTTCCCTGCAGAGCAATAAATGCAAACCCCAAATTTGCTGCACAGATGTGGTTTTTACTAAGGAGATTTTATTTTTTTCATTTTCCTTTCCAACCTAAAATAGGAGCTTTTTGACATGTAATACAGAGGCCAACATCTTTTATCATCCTTCATTTACAAAGCAATCAGACACAGGTTTGTGGTGTCAGAGCCATTGTAATGAGGTCTCCAGGAGCCTCCATTCCCCGCACTGGTTTTCTGACATCCAAGCCCTCCACCCTGCTAGGAGGTTTGTTTACCAGTCGCAAATCTGCATGCTCTACTCCTTCTCTTCTCTCCTTTTCCTCCTCATATCAACTTAGGTATTTCCCAAAGTTCAGCAAATAGTGGGGAATTTTTTATTAATGTGATTGGAGCGATGATTAGCTAATTCTTTCTCGTTCATGCTGTCTCATCAGTAGCCAAGCAGAGCATTGCAGCACATCCTTTGTGTTTATTAAAGGGGCCTTACCTTGATGTCATGAAGTTTCTTGTGGTAACGGTCTTCCAGGGCTGGGGATGTGGCTCAAGCGGTAGTGCGCTGGCCTGGCATGCGTGCGGCCCGGGTTGGATCCTCAGCACCACATATAAAAAAAAAACAAAAAATGTGTCCGCCGAAAACTAAAAAAAATAAATAAATGTTAAAAAAAAAAAAAAAACAGTCTTCCAGATGTGCACCAGCAACACACCTGAGCCAGAAGGAAAGTGCTGTCTGTGGAGCTCAGAGCACCTCCGGGTGCTGGCCATTCTGGGGTCTGGACAAGTTGAGCTGTCCTCACACGATATCTGAGCTATGGTGTAGGAACTTTTCTAAGTGTTCATCAGCCCCAGCCACATCTCCTCATGATCAGATATTTGAACAAAGATTGCAGTACCATCGAAAAGATGGGGCAGGAGACACACAGATGATCCATTACCCATTCAATCAAGAGGGCACATGTTCAGGGATGGGGCTGGGAAATGAAGGAAGCCAGCTCCCACTGAGCTGCCCCAGGTACATGGAAGCACTTTGGTCATGCTCTGGCTCAGTGTTTCCAGATTAGAGCATCTCAAAACATGGAGTGGCTCAGGCCTCTCTCAGCCTAGAGAATTCAGGCTGCCCTAAGACCTGAGGCTCTTTTTAAACCAGCTTCAACATTGCCAGCCACAGGCAATGTGCCCCAAGAAGAGGAACAACTGGGCCAAGGCCTTGAGGCCTGAATGCACCAACAGGAACAGATTAAAGCATGCAGACTACCAAGAGCAGGTGGAGGAAGGCATCAGAGGAGGTGAAAGAGAAACCTGGGTGGAAGGGATGAGGGTCCCAGGGATGGGAGAGCTCTACGGTGGCCTGAAAGGAAAAGTCCAGTTCATCAGACTAGTGCTGAGGGGCAAGATCAGGCAGCAGCCCCTATGAACAGAACCAGAGGCTGCTGGGCCTGTGGACACCACCCTCCTTGCCGCTGCCTAGCCCAGGAGAAATAACAAAGGCAACTCTGCTGGACTCAGCACTGTTTTCTAAAATGAGGGATGCTTGACCTACACTGGATTCTCCATCTTGGTTCTTCAGGAAAAAAATCCCATTATAACTTCCAAAGCCCCGTGGGATTTATGACTGGAGAGGGCTGCATGTGTGGGAATTGAGTTGTTTTTTATGCCAGCCCAGCCTCACTCCCCCACCCATTACCCAGCAACCACAGGTTTATTCTTAAAAACCCTGAGCTGGTCCGAAATGCACCTTGCTCCAGACGGAGGAGATAAAACAGGATTTAAAGGCAATGCATTTTCTGCCGGGCAGTCTTATCGGGATTGACTGCTCCGGGCTTTCAGCTAAGTGTGAATACACAGGATAATTACCATCGTGTGTTACCTGAGATTACAGGGTTGTGTTCCAGCTAATGACACCATGAGAACCAAGCAGTTGTTAATATTTAATCAGTCTCTTGGCTTAACAATTGGATAAATGAGGTGTGTAATTACACAATTACAAAAGACATTTCAGATAGGAATGGTAGTGTTTTTAATACTGAAGGTGAAACCTGGTGGAAATACACCACTAGGTCATTTCATAGATATTACCAAAGAAGACCCTTTGGGGGAGGGGGAGTTCTCCCTTATGAAATTTTAAGCACAGATCTCAAATGCTTTTCCAGAGTGGATTTTTCTCTCTTCTTTCTGGGCCCCTTCATATCGAACATCAGACCAGATGTTTTGCTGGTATCGCAGATTTCACTAGAGTCTTTAAATGAAACAGGCTCCAGAATTTTCTTAATTACGTTATAAAGGTGGCTCCTGTTTAGCAGCAACATGCACTAGTAGATTTTTGCTTGTTTATTTATTTATTTTGGTACCGGGAACTGAACTAGGAGTAATTAACCACTGAACCACATTCCCAGCCCGTTTTATATTTTATTTTGAGACAGGGACTCACTTAGTTGCTGAGGCTGGCTTTGAACTCATGATCAAAGCTCCTGTCTCAGCCTCCCAAGCCACTGGGATTACAGGTATGTACCACTAAGATTTTTTTCTTGTTTATTATTTTTATTTTTGGTGGACATTTGAGAGAGATGGAGCCAAAGCCCAGGACAATGAGTGACAGTGCCATTTTCTTGGGGCTGTTTTTGCCTGTTTCTCCCCTGAGCCACCTAGTCGGTACCACTGCTCCACATCTATTGATCAAGGGAGCAGCCCATATTGTCCCTATTGCAGTATGTGATTGGCAGTTGCCCTGTGATCTCCAGGGTGTGCCATTTCCCCTCAGGTATGCATACCTCCTCAGCAGAAACTGAAATTTTCTGAGAGACCTTGCAACTAATTAGCTAAGTGCTACTCCATGGTCCATGCCTGGAAAACAGAGCCCATTAAAAGCACCTGGCACATTTTAGCACCCAAACTAGAGATGTTGTCTGCTAGGATGATAGCAGTTCTCTGATACAGATCAGAGTGATATGTGTAGAGTCTCTTATGGTTAGATCCATCTCCCTCAAGGGTCATTTGTCAAAGCTTCAAAGAAACCCTTTGCTTCTTTTGTTGATCATTTAAAGAACTGTCTGAGCTGATGCATGCCCAGTACCCAGAAAATCACTATTAGCTACTCGTAAGGTCTGTCTCCATGTTGCCTAGCCTGCAACCCAGCTACTATCCTCCTCCTGCAGGGCTTGGTCCTCTGGGTTTCGGGGCCTTTCCTTTCCTTCTGAGCTGGAAGCATTATTTATAGTCTCTCCTGATCTCACCTGTGCAGCAGCAAATCTCCAAAGCCAAGGCCAGGCTGTTGAGATTTGCTGCAATGTGGCAGGAGGAGGGGCCCTCTTCACACCTGTGCTTTTCCCCTGGGGCCACCAGGACCCTAGGAGATTAGTGATGGAAGGAGAGAAATCTGGAATCAGGAAGTCTTGGTTCACTTCACAGTTTAAATATCACCCTCTCTTTGCAAATTTCCCCAACTTCCCCAGATAGTGTCCCTCGGGAACTCTATCCTGATTGGACCCATGGAAGAATAATGCTCCAAGAGGCAAACAGATCTGGGTTTGAATTCTAGCTCTGCCACTCATCAACAGTGTAAAATGGAAGGGGATTTGCCTCCTTTGCCTCCCCCTTTAGCCATAGGAGGGAGCCAATTCTACTCCCATGCAAAGGCTGCTAGGAGGAGAGATGAGAATTTCAACCCCTAGGCAGGCACTCTGCAGATGTTGTACCTATTCTCTTCATTCTACCTGGGATTATTTATTGGTGCCACAGACTACCAGTTTCTTACAGAGAACTTAGGCTACTTCATCTTTGGGTTTCCAGCTCTTTTTCTTGGGGGAGGAGGGTATATGGAACCAGGGATTGAATTCAGGGTCACTTGGCCACTGAGCCACATCCCTAGTCCTATTTTGTATTTTATTTACAGACAGGGTCTCACTGAGTTGCTAAGCACCTTGATTTTGCTGCAGCTGGCTTTGAACTTGTGATCCTCTTTCTTCAGCCTCCCGAGCCACTGGGATTATAGGCATGTGCCACCATGCCCAGAGGTTTCCAGCTCTTAATGCTTTTCAAGCCCACAGGATGTCCTCAAAGAACACCAGTGATAATTCTAAGCTTATTTCAGTTTTTTATGGTGGTTCCTATATTTCTCCTAAAAATACAAGGTTCGAACTCTCTTCTTAAAAATGGAGAGGAAGTAGAACCTGAACTCTTACACCTAATAGTTTGGTGGTTGCACAAACTGAACCTAATGCAAGATGACACCATGCCCCACCCCCCTTCAATGCCATTGAGGTTGCACTTTGGGAACACTCTTCAGGCCTGTGCCATCTGCCATCTGCCGGGGTTCCTAATGTGCTGTGAATGAGGCTGTCCCATGATAAGCACCCCTGGACCAGCCCGCAGCAGAGACACACATCACAAGCAAGTCCATCCAACCAAAGTGGGCACATCATCAAAATCTTGCAGTTAGCATCATCCAGTTCTGCACCATTTGGCTTCGTGTTTGAAAAGCAGTACATTAAGCTTCTTTAGCAACTCGGGGGTTTGGCACCAGAACATTTCTTAACACATTTGCACTTAAATTGTTGGGGACATAGAGAAGTATTTAAATCATAATAATCACTATTAACTACTTGGGAAAAGTAAGCAGGCGAAAGCTACTGCTACCTGCTGGCTGATAATAAGCCTGATTATGGAGTCCTTTCTTAAATACAAAAGTGAGCCCACAGCCTCTCCCTGCCTCAATTAGAAGGCTGGCGGAGTAAGAAACACAGAGAACAGAGCCAATGTCTTTGTAATGTGTCCCCACTGTCCCCCTCTCCTCCATCACACCTCCCCAGCGCTCAGCCTGGTCTTTCTCACCAGGCTGGTGTTGAAAGGCAGTTCTCAGCTAAGTAAATAATGTTGGTCCCCAGCCAAGGCACTTGGAAGTGAGTTAATCCTTTCTCCATCAAATCCCCAACAACAATCTGGGTTTGTTTAACCATTTGGTATTGGTACTTCAGTGCTTTTTCATAAACACTAAGGGAATCACCCTCTTTGGCCAGCATTCAGAGTGGTTGTCACAGCCAGGCATGTAGCTGCTCTTGTCAACGGAAAGCCTCATCGTGCCCGTCGTATTAGAAGGAGATGGTGGTTACTCTGCGTAGTCTAACAGAGCCATGGACGTAATTACAGCCAACTTGGATAGCATTTAGTGTGTGTGGAGCTCTGGGCAGTGCTCTTTTGCAAATAGCACCTACTTTCACTCATTGCGTCCCTCAGAAGGGAATACAAAGCTGGTATTTCTATTAAGCCCACTTAACAGATGATGAAACATGTTATTGAATACTTAGTACTAGATTCAAACCCAAGAGCCTGTAATACAGATATGCCTTCTACAACAGGCTTCTGTAACAAAATGCCCTTTCTGGATGCCACATACCTGTGGCCTGCTGGTGTTTCCAGAATGGGGGTCTCCTAACTGGCAGAGTCCCAGAAAGGGGATCATGGGGATGAAGACCTAACCAGGATCTGAGAGGCTTCTGTCACACTGCTCTTGCCCCTGGAAGGTCTCCCTCTCTACCTAGTTCCACTGTCACCTTACCTGAGGTTGCCCATATCTCAGAAATGCAACTCTAGACTGACCTTCA